GTCATTGGACTTTTTCTTTCTCTTGTATATATCACTCTCTATATATATCTACACATATATATGCTCTTGTGTGCTCTTTTGCTCTGTATTCTTGTTTCTCTTCTCTTTGATCTATTCTTCACTTTCTTCACATTGTTAGTATTTTCCCATAAAATCGAACTCATGTTCACCCAAACTCATAGGCAGCAGAACGTATAGGCTAGGTGAAGTTTGAGCCTCATCTAAAATTATGAATTGATGTTTATCTGCACGAAGGTTTTGACTTATCCTATCAGATGAATATTATTTCATTGAGAAGATTCGAACTTCTAATATGTTTATTTATATGTTGTGATGAAGAAAACTAAGAAATTTGGACAATAGTAAATTCACTAACTATGTACTTATGGTTCATAACGACACCTTTTATCTTATTTACATAAAGTGGTATGTGTGCCAGACCAATCGTAGAATTATGCAATCAAAAGGTATCAAAACTAGCTATATTCGAGCGTCCATCTTCTCTTTTGTGATGCTGTCATTCTCCTCGATGTATTCAGTAAAATACATCGATAGTAATTGTTAAAAATATCAACAAATATATCAACTAAAATACAGAGTGAAAGAAGTTTATTTCATACTTATCTAAATGTCTAGTTGTCATATTTTTTGGATGCATTTGGCATTATGATTTTACTAGTATGTTAGACGATTATTATGTCTTTCTTATTAAGCAAAAGTGATTTCATCTTAATATAGATATTAAGCAGATAAACAGTACTTTCTTTCGATCATAGTCATAAAATTAATATTTTAGATTATAAACACTAATGATATCAAAGCGATGTGCTAGACCAATTTCTGATGTTTTTAGAAAAAAAAACAAAAGGTACAACAACATCTTGAAATTTTTGTCTTTTTGCAGAGATTTAGAAATTCTGTTAGTCAAGGATGAAGTAAGTTAGCGCATTTATTTTCTGATAGCAAAAAACATTAAATAATCTAAAACGGATTATCACCTGAAATTCGCTCATATTATCTCATTCTAATATGTGAAAAGCTATCTTTAAGCAGTATATAAATTTTCATTGAGCATCATCTGATTTCAGTACGTATCGCCGCCTCTGCCAAAACTTACAGTTAAAATACAAGAAGCAATTCTTTTTTTCTTAATTCTTCACAGAAAGAACAAGCAAAGAGTACATATGTGATTTAGACGGAAGAAAAAAAATACAGTTACTATCTAATTAAAAAATAAATAAACAATTCTGAAAAAGTAAAATTTGAATGGTAAAATCTCCAAACGAAATGGGCAATTGCACATTTGTTTCTCCTTTGGTTACACCGCTGCACATGTATCTTTATAAGAAACAAAAAAGACGATATTGAAAATAGACGTTAGAAATAATATGATGAACACATTGTTAAATTGTCGCAAGTAATTATAGTTCTTTCACAAATACGAGAGAAAAGTTTTTGTTCGTTCAGTCAAGTAGAATCAAATGATCTAGAGTCTACTTATGGTCAACACGACCCATGTCATTTATTTCTGATTCTCTTCATAATGTGTATTCTGGAACCTTCTTAAAAAAAAACTTATTCAGCAATATATGTACTGCTTAGTTGTTATCATTATTATCTAAAAGAATCGTTTGTTGGAAATTTAGCTTACAACTCACTGTGAGTTATATTCTATAAAGAAAAGTTCCGTCTGATAAACATCTAACTGGACTGTATTCGATTTCCTTCCACAGCTTGTCATTTACCATTCAATTGAAGTTTTTTCCAAACATATAAAGGGCATGAATACCGACTCATTACTTTTTGGGTATTAAAAAGTTTTTCAATGTGTTATAAGCATAATTGTCATTTCTTTTTTCGATAAGACATATATACATATGACTATTATATAGAATCGAAACAGTTGTTAGAGTACAGAAAAATGTTTTCATGATAAATTTTCTGAAAGAATCCTTGGAGAAAAGACATTCTACTGATCCATTCTCTCAGCGAATCTAGAATCACGATCCAAAAAAATGATATATGAATAATTATCGATTGTATAGCAAGATAAATACAGTTTAGGTATAAAAGTTCGTGTGTAAAAGGATGAAAAAAACTTCCTTTTTGATTTATATATAGATATTTCAAATCAATTCTCCCTTACAACATTAAAACATCTGATGTTTTTGGTATTCGCAATGAATTTAGTCCAATCATCTGCTTGATATCATGATACAAGTGAATCAATTAAGTTTTTAATTAATGAATTCGATCAATTATTTCGATTGTTATATTCAGTTAAACTGCTTCTTTTAACTAAATAATTGTTCCATTTCTCATTTAGTGATCTGAAAGTTTCTCAGTAAATATTTTCATCTTTTATTCAAATCTTAGTGACGACGAGTGACGTTTTGAGTAATAGTACAATTATACGTGAGTTCTCTTAATTGGAAAGTTTTTTGCAAACATGAGCTCGAATTTTATAGTCTAGGTTTCTCATGCGTTAGATTAGTAACACATTATGTTTGTCTAAGAGTTAATATTTTCAGGAAAAAAACGGTGATATCTATCATCTATTCTATAGTTCAGGTGTCTGAATCAATTAGACGTTGTGGTCCGATACAGAAGTATTCTGCATCAACCTTAAGAGTGCCATCGGTATGTTTTAAAAGTACACATTTTGATAGTTTCAGAATTAATAAACAATAATAACATTTTTTAATGAGTAACAACGAAACTTAACAATGCTAGTTCAATACATCTCTCAAATTATTTATACATCGGTTGTTTTCTTCAAAACAATGCATACATCTGAACCGAAAATTCACGAATGAAAACAATTCTATTAGTCTTAATCGCAAATTTGAGTTACCTAATGATCATATTATAAGGGCTCCTTTTGCGCAACACAGACATTTTGAATATTTCTCTTTATCAAACATGTTGAAAAAAAAATGTACAGTTTTCGATGAATGACTCAATTATATCCATCGAAAATTGTGATTCTTGTTAATTGAAATATATTTACATGCAAGAAAAAATATGTAGTCGATCCATAATATATACTGGAGACAAGTAATATATCCACTTCCATTTGTGATAATTCATATACAAAATATTATTGTTAAACGCATTTAATAACAAAAAAAGAAAAACGTCTTAATTTTATTCAATTTTTCAACACAGTAGAGAGCACTTAAGTTAGCGTTCTTTCCAAGGAGGTAACTACAGCATCTCAGCACTCAAACTTGTTGAAAGATACTGAGCTGCTGAAGTGCTGAAAAGTGCGGAGAATGCCGCTCGTGCAGTTTCCCTCTTGTATATACCATTATTTTCGACAATGTCTCCCTTTTTTATTTCTACTTTCGAAATAAAATGGTGCAATAATGCTGACTTATTACAACGAGAAATGATTCATGTTCAATCAATAATTAGCAATAGCAAAATATTTTGATTTCATTCATGATTTGAAATCTTGTGAAGGACATTTTAGTTTTAATAAACCCTTAAAGTCAACTAGAAATGCAACCATTTGCGATAGACTACTTTAAAACCTACAAATTTTGACACATCCAAGAGAGTAGCTTCTTTTTGCCGACTTAGCCGCAATAGAAACCAAGATTGAAACAAAATTACTGCTGAGAATAAAAATGTTGATTTTTAATAGTATTTGAACGAGTTAGAATATATAAAGGGCTCTACAACTATTAATTGAAATTTTGTTTTCTTTTCCAATTCCACTGAAAAGGCTTGTTTGAGAAAAGAATTCTAAAACAAAATAAAAGCCAATGGCATTGTCGGATGGAACACATAAAGTTGCACTAGACAATATGGGAGAGCTAAAGTTTGAAAACCTCTCCAATGATCTGTCACTCACAGTCACAAAGATATTCTTGATTGTTGATAATCGACATGATACAAGCATTACACGCAAAGGTCGATACAAAACTCAGTCACAGTAACATTTTGTAGTTGCATAGGGTTCTATGTTGTGTATGCACGATGTACTTTATGATGCATTAGTAAATACTTATTAGAAGATAATACGCGAATTTCAACATTATGTTAATTATTAATACAAAGAATATTTTTGTAGTCGAAACAAGTCGCCAGAAAAGCTTTCAAACTTTAGCTCTACAATATTTTCTAGTACAAATCTATGTAGTTTATCAGTCTATACCATTGATTTTGATCTTGTTTTATAATTCTTTTCTCAAGCAACTTTTTTCAATGGGATCAGAAAATAAAACAAAATGTCAATTAATAGTTGTGAAATCTTTTATATATTCTAACTCGCGCAAATACTATTAAAAACCAACACATTTATTTTCAGCACTGACTTTGTTTCAATCCTGGTTTCTATTTAACTTAAATAGAAAAAAAGCAGCTATTCTCTTCAATATATCAAAATTTTGTAGTTTTAAAGATAGTCTATCGCAAAAGATCCTTTGTTTTAGTTGACTTTAAGAGATTATTTAAACTAAAATGCGCTCCCTCAGATCTCGAATCATGAATAAAATCAAAAAATTTCGTTATTGCTAATTATTGATTGAAGATGAATAATTCTTCGAAATTGGAAAAATAATTCTCGTTGTGAAAATTCAGCATCATCGCACCATTTTGTTGGGAAAGTAGAAATAATAAAAGGAAGACATTGTCGGAAGTAATGGTGTATAAATTAGGTATGGTATACCGCATCATGATATGTAATTGAACTCCCTAATCTATTTGATTCAAACATAACAAAAAAAACATGATGAACTCACACAGGTGGATAAATAATTTTTCAATCCACTGTAGGTTCTGCATAGACAATTTTGATTTGTTTTCGAAATATGCTGTCGCCGATGCAAAATGAAAAGACATTTTTCAGGAACTTTGGCATTAGTTGTTATGTTAATAGGTATTCATGAAATAGAGCATAGAGAAAATAGCATAAATATCTGTTTTCAATAAAAGTTTTCGATTTAAATGGTTTATATCGTATAAAACCAATATAGTCAATTATCGAAGGAATTACTAATGAAAAAAATTGTACTTAGTATTAACAATCACATTTATTTCTCATGATTATACAAAAAAAAAAAATAAATAAATACACACTATGAAGATGATTATTGTCGAGTAAATATTGAATTTTCATAATATTTTAAAGAATAAATTTGTGCACAATACTTTTCATAAATATCTTCTCCTAAAATATTAATCATTTGTTTTTTTATTTCTGTTTCACTAACAAGATCTAATATATCGAGAACTTGTTTTAATTCTTCTGGTGACATTTCTTGTAAACAATTTTCCTTTAATGCATCACGTCGTTCTTCTAATTTGAATGTTGTTATCATTGTACGATCAGACATTGATGGAACTTCAATTGATGTTGATGATGATGCTGGTAAACGCAATGTAGCATCAAGTTGATGTAAGAAATCATTCATATCCTTTTTAGCTTTACGTTCTTGTTCTACAGTATCAATTTGACTATCATTTGATATAGAACGATCATAAACTGGTGGAGTTGTTGGAGGTTTATTGTCGTCTTCCGATGGATTTGCTGCTGAATTAACACGGTGTTCACGTCGTCGTTGACGCGCAGCGATATTTGCACGAGGAATACTATTATCTAAAAAATAATTATTATATGTATTTTAAAAAAATATTAATAAAACAACAAGAAGAATACCATCACTTTGACTTGGTGATGATGAATTTCGTTTAAAACGTGCAAGTGTATCATTCTGACGTATTTTTTCTATAAAAGAATTATTAATTATATTTTTTTCTTTTTCTTCATCTTCATTTGAAACAGATATAATTGGCTTTGACAGTTCAGATATTTCGTTGTTAGTAAGTGTAGTTTTTTGTTTAAGACGTCTGGCTCGTGGTTGACTTATTGGCGGAGTAGATGGTGGTTGTTTTTCGTTGATATCGTTATCGGTACGTGGTAGATTTGCTGAACGTGGTTTAGGTGTTGGAGGCATTGAATGACTATCAGCATCGTGTAATGGTGTAGCAAATAGTGATGGTTCAGTAGACTGAATAAAAAAAAAAAAAAGTACGAAAGAATTTATTTATTATTTTCAAATGTCGAGATATTCTAGCAAAGCAGACAATTTTGATTGAATCAAATGTGATATCGAACTATACAGTAATGAGTAGAAATTTAAGAAACTTGTATTTTCAATTCTTCTACTCGATGATAAATGCTAACAACAAGAATTATACAAAAAAAATTTTGATCAAATTAAGTTTTTCCTATCGACAAGAACAATTGAACATTCTATGATTTTTCTTTTTTAATTTTTTTCTCATAAAAAAAGAAATCTCTGTATAGCTCAATATCATTGTCGCCATTACGTTCTCAGCTAAATATCAGTTTTACCCTGTACCGGCGTTGGTGTATACGATTGACAACGTTCACGTGTTTTATCATATAATCGAACAATATGTTGTTTTATATATGGATGTTGTAAAATTTGCTTAGCTGTTGGTCGATTATCTGCATCTTTATCTAACATAGCATTAATTAATTCAATTAATGGTTTACTATAAACATCAGCTGATGGTAAAGATGGTGTTTGACCACGAACAACTTTTAAAACAAGTGAACTAATATCACCAGCTTTAAATGCATGTTCCAATGTTGCCATTTCATAAACACAACAACCAAGTGCCCAAATATCTGATTTTTGACCATACGGTTGATTTGAAAATATTTCTGGACTCATATAATATCTAAGAAAAAGATTGCAAAAAAACAAAAAAGAATTTTTTTTCAATATTATTTGAAATTAAATACATACGGTGTACCAATAACAGTTGTAGCTAAATCTGCTCCATTATTATCTAATATTTTTGCTATACCTAAATCACCAACTTTAACTATTTCATGTTTAGTTAAAAAAATATTTTGTGTTTTTAAATCACGATGTAATATTGATCTTTCGTGCATATATTGTAATGCAAGTGTTATTTGTATAAACCACTCAATAATTTGTTCTTCATTTAATAATTGTTTTTTACGATATTTTAATTTTGTATACAAATCACCACCTTCACAAAATGCCATAACAATATTTAAATAATGATCACGTGAACGAAATGATTCAATATATGCAACTATATTTGGATGTTTGAGTGAAGATAATAATTGTGCTTCACGTTCCGCAGCTGCAAGTTCATTTTTTTCATTATTTGGACGTCCAATACAAATACGCTTCAGGACGCAACGGCGTGGTTTACTTTTACTACCAATACTTGATTCAAGTGGTGAAACAAGCCATACTTCACCATAACTGCCACGGCCAAGTACTTTGATTATTTTATAACGATCTTTGACTAGAATTAGGTCATTATCAGAAGTGGTTGAAGTATGTGCATTGCTTTCTGCCATGTTTTTCTTTTCTATTATTTATTAAGAATGTAATAGAATATGTAAAACATATGTACTTATCACCATTAATAAAGAATAATTCAGAAGAGGATTACCTTAGCAACAGCTATTATGCTTACAAAGAATTTGATTTAACAAGCAAAGTTAAGGAATCTTTTTATATATTTAACAAATAAAAAAAAATTCTATAGTACATATGTTTTACATTATTTTTGACTCCTGGCAAGATGGCACCACTAAACATACTCAATTTCGTTACTAGTAACAAAAAATTTAGAACTTACTGAACTCGAAAAAAGCAAATTTTTCAATCAGGTATTATCTCGATACGCAATAGATTACATAGTCTAAAAAAACATTTCATTTGTTGACGAATGCATATCATGTTTATTGACCTAATCATGCATGCACAAATTTTGTTCACCGATCATATCTGACATTTGAATGCATACAAACTTGATATTCTTTCATACGCAAAAGTGCACTTATATCATAAGTCACGATTATTGTCTCCTCCTGATCATTATTACATGTGACAATATGAGTAATTTATGCATAACTTAATAGTATCTGTTAATTACTTTCCCTCTCTTTTCTTCTTTTCACTTGCATATTTATTTACAATAAGATAAACGCATATTTTTATTCATATATTCTGTATGTAGTAAATACCAGTAAGATGCTTGTAATCAAACGAAATAAACAACGTGATCAGTCTCCAACTCAACCACTTTCATCATCTCGTAAACTATTTGCAGATTATCCTTATCCGATATTAACTGAACTTGAAAAAGCATGTGAACAAAAACAACAGAAACACTCTAAGCATTCTTATATTCCAATATCTTTACTACGATATAAAGATTATTTAAATAAAACGTTTGATACATTAAATGGTTTTCATAATCGTAATCTTCTAGTGTCAACTCTAGAAAAATCTGTTACACAATCAAATATTAATAGATATTTATCAAAAGATCACGCTAACAATTTACAACAAAAAACCAAACCAATTGATAATAAACAGTTATTTGCTAGTTCAATAACTCCAATAATAAATCTTGACAAAGGACAACACAATCAACAACATGCAGAAAAACAAAATATGACAAACTTCTACCATGAAATTAATCATGATAAATGTTAAAACTGTCTTTCAAATAAGTTTATTTTTTATTTTATCTTGTTGTTAAAAAAAAAAACCAAAGAAGTCATTGTATAACATCGAATACAGGTCTTCGAATAATTCATAATTGAAGTGAGTAAAACCAGTAAAACATAAATAAATTTTCATTTATTTAATCTTTTTTTTCTTTTCTAATTAATATTAATATTTTCCATATTATTCGTATGAATATAAACAGAATGAAAATAATCAAAAGAAAACAAATGAGAATATCTAATGAATATTTTTCAATCCAATTCATCTGACTATCATAAGATACTATTTGTTTTTGTATATCACGTCCATATTTACTCATATATTCAATTATATTTTGAGCACGTTTTAAACCATCACCATATATACGAAATGAATCTGCTATTTTTTTTGTATTACGACGATATATATGTGGATTATTTAAAATTAAAAGAATTTTTTCAATTAATTCATTTGATGTAAAATTATTTTTATCAATATATAAACCCATATGTAATTGTACACTACGTTTAGCAACTTGATATTGATCAAGAAAAAGTGGAAATGCAATATGTGGAATACCAAATACAATTGATTCATGCATTGAACTCATACCACAATGATTTATATAAATTGAACGTTCTTGTTGCATAGCTGGATGTGATAAAATAGTTTTTTGTGGTACAAAACCTTCAAGACGAAATCGACTATCATTACTTTTTAAAGTATTACCACGAGCCCATAAAACTCGTATTTGAGAAGAACTTTTTGTTTCGATTAATTTCATAAATGCATAAATAAGTTTATTTGATTGTTCTTGTGTAAGAAGACCAATTGAACCTAAACTTATATAAATAAGTGTATCATTTTGTTGAACAATATCATTAAGCCATAAAAGTAAATTATGATTAATTGGTTGTAAACGATATTGATATACAAATGGACCTAAGAAATGAATAGCCGGATTAATAACTGAACGTGGAATTTCAAATGGTGGTGCTGTACTAACAAATACACTAAGATAATGTTTTTTAATTAAATATTCATAATCAAATTTTCGTTGATAAACACGAGAAAATATAAAATGTGTTTGATATGGTATTATTATTGAGCGATAAATAAATAATTGAAAACGACCAATAAAAGTCGATGGTGAATAAGGAACAATATACGATGGTGTATGCCAACCTGGTGTCATGCTTGGTAAATTAAGTGCATCAATAAGAAATGGACAAACAACAATAGCTGGTATAGAACCAAGTTGTTCAGCTAAATCAATTGCCCATAACATATTTAAATCGAAAATAATTACACGCGGTTTAGCATGTTTCTTACGAAGTAGTGGAAGAAGTGTTTCATAAGCAACATGATTAAAACTATGAAAAAGATGAGCCATACGAGATACAAAACTGAGATAATTTCTTAAAGGTTGTGAATCCATTAATGAAAATTGATGCATATCATCAAGAGTAACATCATGTGCAATACCACCATCAATATAATTAAGACCTTCATCAGTTACCCATGATGAAACATTAACATCAGCATAGGACGGTACACTAACAAGTATTTCAGTATCATTATCAGTTCCATTAAATGTTAATTGTTTAGCTAATTCGAGAATTGGATTTAAATGACCACGTTCAGGTGGAGCAATTAATAAAATATAATTATTAGCTAAAAGAAAATTTCATTATAGAAATATAATGATATTAAAAATTTTATTTTTATTTTTTGTACTCAAGAGATATAAAACAAAAGATATCAAGAACACTCGAATTACAAACAGATATCTACAGAAAAAAATACTAATGCTTTTGCGTAGGCAAACTTTCTAATACAATCAACCACCAGAAAAAAATCCTGTCATTTCCAAGTAAACGTGATTTATGACTCGGTACTGTTTACATGTATAATTTATACATATATATAGAAAAATATTAGATCCGACAGATAACCAAATATGTCTGTCAACGGAAGTCATGCTTATTTTAACCGTCCAGAATATTTTTACATCTACATTCTGTACACTTATTATAGTCAATGATAAGTCTTTGTACAAATACTATAAGAAAAATGAAAGCATTCAAAATCAAATTACCTTCTTCAGAACATTCCACTCGGTAAATAACTAATAATACCAACAAAATGCCAAAGCTCGTCATCTTTTCTCCTCCATCATCTGGAACGAGATATAGATGATTCGAAATGTTTTTTTTTTTTTTTTTTTTTTGTTAGACTTATAATTTATTTTTATTCTTGTAGTGAGAAATAGCAAGGATAAAAGATAATTTGATTAAGAGAAACAAAAAATTGAATTAGGTTAACAAATCACGTCTACATGACAAACAATAGGAAGAATAATAGAAGAAAAGTGTAGATGAATGCATGACAACATGACCAATATTGCCCGAAGGATAGATGAGTTTATATTCAATTGTCTATTATTGCAAATCTTTAAGCATGTTCTTCTTCTTCGCCTTCTGCACCTTCGCCTTCTTCTGCAATACAAATTAAATACATTAATCTAATACAAACAATAACAAATATAAAAAAAACTAACCTTCCGCTGTTGCATCTTGATATTGTTGATATTCACTTACTAAATCATTCATGTTTGATTCAGCTTCAGTAAATTCCTACAACATGGCAAAAAAACACATTTTTCATCATACTATTTTCATCTATATTTTAACATACCATTTCATCCATGCCTTCACCTGTATACCAATGTAAGAAAGCTTTTCGACGGAACATAGCAGTAAATTGTTCAGAAATACGTTTGAATAACTCTTGAATAGCTGTGCTATTACCTATAAATATATATATAAAGCAATGATTTAGATTCATAAAAAGATCTTGTTTCTTTTTTCGTTATCTTACCAATAAATGTAGCTGACATTTTAAGTCCACGAGGTGGAATATCACAAACAGCTGTTTTAACATTATTTGGAATCCATTCAACAAAATAAGATGAATTTTTGTTTTGTACATTCAACATTTGTTCATCGACTTCTTTCATTGACATTCGACCACGAAAGATTGCAGCAACAGTTAAATATCGACCATGTCGTGGATCACATGCAGCCATCATATTTTTAGCATCAAACATTTGTTGTGTAAGTTCAGGTACAGTTAATGCACGATATTGTTGTGATCCACGAGATGTTAATGGTGCAAAACCAGGCATAAAAAAGTGCAAACGTGGAAACGGAACCATGTTTACAGCTAATTTTCGTAAATCAGCATTTAATTGACCTATTCAAATTAAAACAAAAGAATAAAATAAATCATTAGAAAACAAAACAAAACAAAAAATAAATTCATTATTTTACCTGGAAATCGAAGACATGTTGTTACACCAGACATAGTAGCTGAAACTAAATGATTAAGATCACCATATGTTGGTGTTGTTAATTTTAATGTACGAAAGCAAATATCATATAATGCTTCGTTATCAATACAATATGTTTCGTCAGTATTTTCAACAAGTTGATGAACAGAAAGTGTTGCATTATAAGGTTCAACAACAGTATCTGATACTTTTGGTGATGGAACAACACTAAATGTCATCATGATACCTGAAAATGATTATAAAAGTAGATTTTATCTAATTAACAAAACAAAAAAGTTTTTTTTTTCTTCTTTTGTTACTTACGATCAGGATATTCTTCACGAATCTTTGAAATAAGTAATGTACCCATACCAGATCCAGTACCACCACCAAGTGAATGAGTTAATTGAAAGCCTTGCAGACAGTCGGATGATTCGGCTTCCTTTCGGACAACATCCAAGACTGAATCGACTAATTCAGCACCTTCAGTATAATGACCTTTAGCCCAATTGTTACCAGCACCAGATTGACCTATTTAGAAATTAAAAATAAATATAATGAGAAAAAGAAAGTAGGCGAAACATAGACGCTTTAAGTTATTTTCAAATAATGAAATATACATACCAAAGACGAAATTATCTGGTCGAAAAAGTTGACCAAATGGGCCACTTCGAACACTATCCATTGTACCTGGTTCAAGATCAACAAGAACAGCACGGGGAACATATTTGCCACCTTAAATAAAATAAACATTTAAAAGCAATAATTATTTTGAGAGAATTTCTTTACCAGCTGCTTCATTGTAGTAGACGTTGATTCGTTCAAGTTGAAGATCAGAATCGCCATGATATGTACCAGTTGGATCAATACCATGTTCGTCCGAAATAACTTCCCAAAACTAAAAATAGAATAATGATGAATCATTCCTCCAATGAATACTGTAGAAAAGAAAATAGTATATGTTTCTCTTTCTCTTCTAGTTATCTAATTTTCTGTATATAGACGTCTTAAAATACTGATAAGATATCCAATTGTCTTTCTTGCCCATATAATCGATAAGTGTTTTATTAGGAAAGTCTGTTAATGCTGCAGAAAAAAATTGACCGACAAATATTGATAATAAAATGCAAATGTTTTTCTATTTTTTCAGTATAAGCCTAACTGTGATGCAAAAGCCTTATCGAAAACTATTTGCATACTTTAGAACCAATTTGGTTACCACATTGACCAGCTTGGAGATGAACTATTTCACGCATTTTGAAGTGGTTGTTGTTTTCTGTGTAGGATGAAGCGAAAGTGCGAGAGACGTCGATCTGCAACGACTGACAAAATGTTATGATTCTCGACGGACGACGAGATAATATAAAAAAAACCGAGCGAGAGAGAGAGCGAGAGAAAGTGAAAGAACAGCAGCCCACGAACGTAGGCCTCTTTTTTTCTCTCTTTTTCGCTGTCGCTCACCCTCTTCCTAGTTAGACAGAAAAGATGGACGGACGGCATAGTCGCATTGCTTAAACACTTCACAAATACAGCCTAGAGGAGAACGACGACGTATATCAATGAATGAATCATCCTTCTATTAAATCCACAAATGCCTCACCCAACAACAAAAAAGAAAAGAAAGAGAATAATATGATATGAGAAGATCATGAGAATAAAGAAATTAGAAGATGCATATATTGTGTGGTGGACTACATGTCTCGAATGTCGTGTCATGGAGACGTAGCTTGGTTTTTTTTCTTGTTTTTTGAAATCATTTCATTCGTCAAATAAATATCAAAAGGAGTAAATAAAAAAAAAACGACAAGAAAATGAGACGACCAGGATAGATTTTCTTTTTACACACGGGAAATCACCTTGCTTGTTAACATAACAATGATTACATTTATTTAAAAAAAAAAAAAAGAAATGGAATATTGTTAAGATATTTACATCAGAATTTCTTTAAAAAGATTGTCATGTAAATATTTAATGCAAAGAAAATTCTTTTTGTTCCATGCAATACCTTGTTACAACATTATAAGTAAGAGCATCATGAAGAAATGTGGTGTAATACAATTTATGAAATGTCTAAAGCATTTTTTTCAGTTTAATTAGAAAAAAGGAAAGCAATAATATAATGAACTCATCAATAAAATGCTTTTTTTTAAATTTTTTATGAAGAATTTATAGCGAGTTTTTCTGTAGTTAAAAAATGTGTTACGACAAAACTAAGAATGATTTCGAAGAAATATTCTGTTCGAATGTCATTGAAAATTTTGTTATCAAAGAGAGTCATGTTCATTAGGATATATGCATGATATACATTTGTTTGATTTCTAAAATGCATATTCGTTTGTTTCTTGGTTACTTCTGAAATGAAATTAAAAGTCAAGAAAAAAAAACTGTTCGCTTTCACAAATGAATAAATTATATCAAGCGCATTTTTATTATGTTTTGAAAAACAGAAAGCAACAAAAAAAATTAGTTTTGATTGATAGTAAGAATTTATTTTCGACAAGGAAACTCATCCGATTGATTCTCTTCGTTTGAGCTCATATTTTGCTAATAGTGTAAATAAAAACTGTGAAAAGGTTTGTGCCATTAGATCTTTCTTCTCGAGTTATGATCATTCTACTGAACTTCCAGCGTATTGCAGAATATCGCGAGAAAAGTCGCAATAAGGAACTTTCGCTTTGAAATTTTCTCCAATGACAACTTTCGTGTTTCTTATGATATCCTAAAAATTTCAGGTCAAATACATGTTTTCTTTCTGAGATAATACGTTTGCAAAAGACATTACTTTAATACAAGAGCTCCAAAAATAATCCGGTTTTTAGGCGTTCAGTATCTTAAGAAGAAATCATCCTTTTAAGCTGCAACTTTCAGAATATCGTAAAGACCATGAAAGCTACTGTTAGAGAGAATTTCTGAATGACAATTCCTTGTTGCGATCGGCTGACATTTTTCATTATAAAGAGAACTTGGTAAAATCTGATTGCGCCAGTACTAACCCGATGTTGCTGGTCATTAATACATTGAATTTAGAATAGAAACAATCTATTTTTTTCTTGGACGTTATAAAAGGCTTTTAATGATGCTTTTATAGTTTACCATTTTTTAAAAGCGTTAATGTTTGTCTTTTTATTGACAAATAAAACTTCATATGTTTTTACACTATCACAGATAAAAAACTCCGGTGTACTATGATCCTGAGTTACAATAAATCTTCTATTATCTGCGTCGATCTTCGCATAGATCTTCACTCTAGCAATAGCGTTCATGATGAAACTTTCACGAAACACTTGATTAGAACAGAGAACACACTAGAGATGATTTCAGAGAATACTGTTGATAATAGTAGAAATTACAGGTTACATTTTGACGAATTCTATCAACTCTTATGTTCAAGATACTCAAAGCTAACCTCAAAAATCAGGTAAACTATAATCGTTTGATATAAAATTCTTGTCGATGCTGGAAGCAACATTAAACTCTCTAAGAAAAGGTTACATGCTGTAATTTTTTCTTTGATAAAGCTGAAGTATCGTCGTCTGAATAAAAAAAAACACCTATGTTGGTCGTCTAAGCTTTTCTTTTGCATAATGACCGATTAAGTTCTTATTGTTACTTGGCATCCGAGTGCATTGTGTTCTATTCATTGTCAGAATATAGGACCAAAGGATTTCCGCTTAGATAGCGTTTTCCCGATAGCGGAACTTTTGATAACTCCTGTGATACTTCCTATTATGAAGAATATAGAGTTATTTACACATTCTATTTTGTAACTATTTTTTTCTATTTATGTCTACTTTGATAGTTTCATTATTCAAATAATAGATGACAAAGAATATATTATTTCACCATTATTTTAAATTTTGCTCGTTGCCTTTTGAATGAAATAACTAACAAACATCACTTTTTCATTAGATAACGTATTCTTTGTTACAAAATAATTATCAATATTGTAAAAGTCTTTGATTAAAAAAAAATATTCAATTTTTTTAATGGCTTTGTCACTTAGAGCATATCAAAAGTAATGAAAGCTATTTATAGTATCAAAGTAAAGCAAGTTTCATAATAAGTTGTGTTCATTGGTACTTGCATCTCTAATATCGTTTTACATGTCTGCATTTTATCATTATTAACTAATCGATCATACCATATGGAAAAATTTGATAAATGCTATTCATCGTATTTTTACATGAAATGAAAAATATTCATTTCTATATTACATTGCGTGATACATACAAAATTTCTAACCCAAATTAATTCATGATAAATTATATTCTGTTTTCGGCAATGAAGCTCCACCATACAACATAACTGCCATATAATCAGAATAATTTCTTGAACGTCGGAAAGAAGTCGAAGATCAATACGACTTTGTCGATCTGTCAACTAAAATAAAATCTAAAAAAGTCGAATACTGCTTGCATACCAATTAGAGGAATTCTGCTCACTCTGGCGGAATACATTTGTTTTGTTGGTATAGTAACCAATTTGTCATTTTCCGTTAGTAATATGAATGTATATATATATAACAGCTTTTTTAACGATCAAAATGGTATATTAATTTTAATTATATCCAAAAGAAAAACAAACACACTTAGTTAAAGTTACTTATTTTGTACAGCTATCAACGAATGATTAGGAAAAAAAAGAAGTTATTAAATTAATAATTGTTTCATTTTAAATGCCTATTGTTGTATCATGCATTTATGGCAAACAGTTGTATATCGTTAATTAATATAACATAATATCGAAATCATTTAAATTTTCTATCCGAAATAAGTTTATTTCAATTTGTAATTTTCTTATAATATGAACTTTTACTTTTTGAATGTTTCGTATTCTTGAGAAATGTAAATTTAAAAAGATTCTTTCATATAATTTATTATTCAAACAAGAAAAAAAAAAGAAAAACAAAATTTAAGCTTCGTATTCACATGGCAAAATTGCATCATCATTTTCATCCTCATCTTCTGCTTCTTGTTCTTGTTCTTGATTATGAATCTGAAATTGTTCTTGATTATTTTCATTATCAGAATTTTCAGATGACGAACTATTTGAATCTGATGATGATGATGATGATGACGACGACGATGATGCTGATGATGTTTGATAATAAAATAATTCTCCAGGATGTGCAAATCTTGTTGATAAAGATTCATCTTCATTTTCTGAATCATTAATATCGAAATATAATTTCGTTGAATTTGCATTATCAATTATTGGTAATTGTCGCGAAGGATTTGGTACTAATGGTAATTGTCGTATAGGCATCGGTAAAGATGGTAATTGTCGAGAATTAGTATTTCCTTGTGGTCGAGGTTGAGCTGTATTTATTAATGGTGAAGATGTTTTAGTAGGAACTGTTCGATTTGATGATAGTATTGCTCTGTAAAAAGTAAAATATTGAATTAATTTCAGGAATAATACAGAAAAAAGAAATCATTAACCTTGTTCTCATTGGCCAATTTTCATTTAATCCAAAACCATCATCAGTTGATGTATGTGAATCAAGTGAATCGTGACGACTACTTGTATCATTTCCACTACTACCTAATAATGGTTGATGTTGTTCAGGTGATTGATCAGGAACTCCTAAATTAATAATTATTATTAAATACGAAAATTTTTTTTTTCTATCAAAGCTGCACAAGTCCTAGTCGTTCGTTCAAAAAAAGCAAAAGTTTATTATTCAATACCGAAATCGATTTTAGAAGAAATTAATAGTTTTGTTGCAAGAAAAAAATTTCACTACTCGTAAAAATAAACTCATATTGATCTCCTCCTAATATGCTTGCTAGAAAACTCATGTGTATTCTTGCTATGTCAACACTAATTGAACGTGTTTTTTTCTCAATGTTATATTTTAATGAGATCACATCGTTCAAGTTTTACAGAAGTTAAAATGTAATAAGACATTAATTTAAATGGTATAGGAAATAATGAAATTTAGGCTTTTTATTGTATTTAACTATCGTGTGGAACTGTATAATAGAGAATAGTTGATTTTACTGTTCTTATTTTGTTAATAAATCTAGGCTAGTTGCGATGTTCGATTTTATGTAGAACTTTTTTTTTTTTTGGGCATAAAAACTAGGAACTAGATATCGTGTAATGAAACAGCTGTTGTTAATGTTCGTTATGAAAAAAATAACTTGACTCACTCAGCTCTAATTTCTATGCTTTCTATTTTTCTACATACTTGTTGATGAAAAAAATAATGCTGTTCGTGGTCGATTATTAATAAATTTTTTTGTTGGTATTTTTTCTGTTGTTGTTTCACGAATAGTTTGATGATCAATATTCAATGGTGCTGATGCTTGTTTAGATGATGTTATACGTGATGTCATTTGACCATTTAAAGGTAAACGACGTCCATTAGGTACAATCATTGTTTGTGGTTGTTGTTGACAATTATCTGTTGTAACAAGTAATAATGGTCGAGTTTCAGTTGGTGATAAAGCAATTGATGTTGAAGGATTTTTAACAGATATTATTGATGATTTTGGTGTTGTCATTATTGCTGGTCGAGGTGGATTTAATGGTGCTGGTGGTGTAACCATTGGTAAAACATGAAGAACATTATTAAGATCTGGTACATTTAATGTTTTACCATAATGATGTTGACTTTGAATACTGTCTGTTATCGGTGGATTTGTTCGTTTTGTTTCATCAAGATTTAATAAATGTGGAGGTTTGGAATTAATATATCCATTTTCTATTGCATTACTTTGTCGACGACTTGTAGAAACTTTATTTTTACCCAAAAACATATTTTCAAAATTCTGAACAAAAGAAAAAAATGTTTTTATTATTGACTTTTTTTTTTTTCTTCTAAAAACATAATAAATCGCTTCATTTTAGTATTCAAAAAAATTATGATTGTATGAAATTAGATTAATAGAAAACTTACTTCAACTATATATACAAGAGATAATATTCAATTCAATCAAGTCATGATTATTTTAAATGAATATTAGTCTTTTTTCGTTATATAGATATTGAATATTTTGGGAAAGATATTTTTGTTTAAACTTTCTAATAGTAATAAAATTTATTTGATAAGCAAAATTTCAGTTCAATACTTTTTATATATGAGTTCTCGGAAATAAAACGGTCGTAACTCATTGCTACTAGGTAAAAGATCCAAATCCTTAAAGGTATTGTCTTATCTCAAGATAATCTATCGGATGAGATATGAATAAATCAAAACGAAGCTGGAACACGTCAAGTACTTCTCTCGTCAGTGGAAATCTCAAATTTTGGATTGTTAAAATAATGAATCAATTATCAAGTCGTAATTCTTATGAAAAGATTTAAGATTTGATTTTCTAAAGTTATTTGAGAAAAAAAGAATTATCGTACTATTCCATTGGACAAGATCGTATTTTATCTTAATTCTTTCTCTATCGAATGACCATATTAGAAATTTAAAATAAAGCAAATTTTATCTTTCGAAAGTACTTTTCTTTCATCTTTACATTGGATAAAATATTAAGATAATTATTTTTTTCTCTCAAATTTGCCATACTTGAGTACGAAAAATTCATTTGTTGAAAAAAGTATACATCTACAGAATATTATAATAATCCTATAATTTGTTCTTTTTTTTTGTTGCTACGAGAAGATTTTCATCGATTTCAATAAAGAAATATAATTAATTTTACCGATGAACGATTTCCTCCTGTTCGACGAAAACTTCCCGATCGACGAAATGATGATCGTCTTCCATCATAATCATTGTCATTAATACCTTCTTTTGAATGAACACGTTCTTTAAGTGCTGATACAAGTCGATTCAAATTGAATCCCTATTAATATAAATAAGATAACAATAAATTATTTTATATATTTTAATAATCAATAAAAAAAATCATCATATGGAAAAGAAGAAGAAGAAGAAGAAGATGATGAAAGGGTTGAATTATACGATTTAAACATGACTTAATTATAAGGGAATAGTAATAGGATGAAAGGGAAATAAATAAAAAAAAAAAAAAAAAGAGGAAAACGAAGATAGTCATGCTTAAAAAATTTCTCATAATAAGAATAATAAAATAAAATAAAATAAAATAAAAAGAGAATCAAAACACATGACAGAGGTTTTTTTTTTTAATCGAAAGATATTATTTTTCTTTCTATCGATTTAAAATTAAAATAAAATAAAAAATGTTGATATTCTGCAAGCATGCACCCATGCATAACTGACCTCATCATCAGTTGACAGTAATACAATACTACTGCTGCTTTTGCTCGTTATCTATACATATATATATATACATATACGTTGAAAATATGAACGATTAACGTCTTTTTTCTTTCGATATATTCACAAAGCGCAAATATAAGTAAACACAAAATGACTTTTTTATTTTAACTTACAGTATCATTGGTATGTCCTTGTTTATATGAACGATAATTATCAATGTATAAACATATCGCGTAAACTTTACCAACAGTTAATTTCGGATAACCTGGTATACCGTGTAATTCTAATAAAAAAAACATATGAATACGTTTTGTTTTGTTGGTTTTAGTTTTTTAGTTTTTACCATGTTTAGGTGGTACGACTAGATCAAGTAATGGTTTTGTTCCACCTTCGTGTAATTTAATATTCTTTTTTGCATGATTAGGCCAAACTTTACATAAAACTTCACGTAATTCATTATCAGCTTCATCCATTTCTTCGGCAGCTAAATGAAAATTATTATATTTAATTAAATATTATTTTCAGGAAAATAAAAAAAAAAAAAAAGAACAATCATAATAAATTTACCAGTACGCATTTTAATTCCAAGTGATTCACGAATCAGTGCAAAGAGTGTTGTCGTAAAATGAACTTGACGCTTATCATCAATAGGCATATTCATACGAATTAAACGCTAAATATTTAAATGAAATTTTACATGAGGTTTTTTGTCTCTTAATTATGCAATAACTAAGAGCGGAAAACAAAGATTTGGTTTTAGTAGGAAATAACATCCACGCTCACACCGAATTCTCAATAGAGCTTCATGGTAGTCGATTGGTTTCTTTTTTTAAGTAAACTTTGTTACTAATATATAAAAAAATAATTTTATAATTAGAACACCGCTTAAGAAGTAAAGATTATAAAAAAAAACTTCTGCTATGTCCTACATGCTTAGTCAGGAATGTTCTTTCAAATGACAAAAAGAAGTTAAGTATATAGAAACAAAATCCAGAGAGAATTTCAGGTTGCTCAATAAGTTCTTTTCTTACTCTTGTTTGTTGAATATCTCTCGAAAACATAATGCTATTTTACTGAAAATTTTACCGTAGTTTCTTCAATACAGCACCTACATATACTGTGAAGCTCATATGATTTGAATGTATCTGGTCCAAGATCAATTTATGAGGCTTTGATGAATCACATAAGTACTATATAACTATCGATTTGCTTTAGTTACATTTTTGAAGAAAAAGAATATATTATTTTAGACTTGAACACGTCGGATATTCTATTTAATATATAAATATTTACATACTTTATATGCTAATTTCGATGGACATTTAGTCCCAAATCCAACAGGTGGTGACATAAGTCGAAGCATTTCAAACATTTTTGTATATTCCAATTTTCCTCTATTTTATATAAGAAAATAAAAGTAACAATTTCAAAAGAATACAACATACGTTCCATCTGGATCATATTCTGACCAAGCTCGAAGAAATTCATCTAAATGATGTGCTCCTAATATAGATGAATCTCTTGTTAAATAATCAAAATTATCCATAATAACCGCAACAAATAAATTCAACATCTAAATAATAAATATTTACTTTATTGCAATTATCCGTTTTCGTTTCTTTTTGTTAATTAAAATTACTTACTAAAAATGATGAAAGAAAAACAAATGAACAAAAATAAACATATGCAAAATCTGATCCACATTTATGTGGTGATTGATCATTTTTAGTTTGTGTTGCTGCAAGACACATTGTTGCTGCTGTTGTACTAATATATGGTGTTATTGGATGTTGATGTGATCGATGATGAGCTGGTAGATGACATTCAACACCAGCTTTACATGCTAACATAACTGCTTGCCAACTTTCACCTGTTGCACATCTAAATATTATCAATAGATTTTAAAATAATAACGAAACGAAAAAGAATATTCTTCAAAAATAAAAAGAAGCATTATAAGCAACAACAATCACAAATACCTGAACAAGAGCAGTAAAGCATAGAAAAAATTGGAAAAATTATTGTGTCGATTTATCTCGGATTGAGCCGAGTCATGACGAACACTTCCAAAAACCTTTATATTTTAATATTTAAATAAAAAAAATAATAATAAATCACATGCTAAATTAATAAATAAATAAAAAATTTATGAAAAAAAAAAAAAGAACTAAACTTGACTACTACTATCACATGACGAAAAAAAATAATAATAAATCATAAAAATAAATAAATAAATTTTTCTAATTCATTTCATGAAAATATGAATATAAGATAAATATGATCTAGAGATTTGATCCTCTTGCCTGAATAAGACGAGTGTAGCTTGAAAAATGTTCTGAAAATTATTGTGATTGTGTATTGCCGATCCATGATCGACTTTTATATTACCAAACATCTGTAGGGTAAATTAAATTTTCGTTGTTTTTTTTTTTTTTTACTCATTAGAAATAATTTAATAAACTATTGAAAACTAATAACTTAACAAAAATAAAATTAAACATATGATACCTGCATGCCAATTATAGCATAAATAAAAAAGAGCATGGCAATCAACAGACAAACATAGGGAAGAGCCTATAGTAATATAAAAACAACATAATAAAGTTTCTTTTTTTTTTTTAACATTTAAATTAAATTCGTTTTTTTTTACTTTAAATGATTGCATAAATGTCCACAGTAGAATACGAATTGTATAACCTTGACGAAGAAGTTTTATTAAACGAGCAGCACGAAATAAACGAAGAAAGCCCAAATTAAGTAATGTATTCTACAAATAAAATAATAAGAATTAAGAAAACTTAATGGAGCTTAAATTGATATATCTAGATTTTTATATTATGTTGGAAAAGAAAATGTTTAACTAAAGTTACTCTGGTAGTCAGACGTGCCCTGATGAGATCATCAAGATTAGAGAAAGGAGCCCTTGTTATATGAATTAGTGAGCTAAAAAACATGGAAAACTGTTGTTTCTCTAAAGATAAATGAAAATTTTTCAAGATTGGTGCATCACTCCTGCGTGGACCAAAATGCTATCAGCTTCATAATTGAATTCAAAAAGATTTACTGGCTTCAGATTTCTTATTCGAATTTAATCATGATTAGATGTCATCGTAAACTTCATAAGATGCAAGCAATTAGAAATTTGAGTAAAATTTTTCTTTGGCGTTTTTTCTTATCATGTTAGGATAGAGCTCCTCGAGTTACCAAATAAAAAAATGTGTCTTTTGG